TAATCTAATGAAAATGATATATACATGTGAGATTAAATTAGATTCATAGAATTGAGCAATAGAAATAGAGAAATGAAATTCATCATACTTGGAAGATGATGCTCATGTAACTGTTATGCTGTTATACGCATTTCCCATCTGCACCCTGTGCTCACATGTGTAAATTCCTGCAAGAACACACCGTCAGCCAAGGAAATCGTAGAAGCACAATGATATTATAGAATCTTTAATAAACATGTATACACATGCATTCTCTATTGTCTATTGTAACCTTTTACACTCTAACATCAAACTGAATAATAAATGTATATTCTCCATTCTTTTCTCTATGCATCTCTTAATGTTCTGACAAGGAGAATTTGTTCAGCAATCAAGACCTTGTTTGTTAGCAATAATTTCCTCTATTCTCATGACCTTGGTGTTTAATTTAGGGATAATAATGCAAAGAGAAATCAGTTGCTTGTCACCATTTGGGGTGTAAGGCTTAGAGAAAGTTAATCTCCAAACAATAAAAAACCTGGTGTGCCTCTCCTTTTGTTTGCTCTGCAACAAGATGTTAGTAAAACAGAGATTCTAATCAGTAAAAAAATCATCATGTACTTAATATTATCTGAAGTTTACCCTCTTGTGTGATGATGTATTTTTGTTGCAGGCAAAGAAAACCAAAGTGTAGAGAGTTGTAAAGAGAAAATAACTGCACTTGTTGCAGTAAAATTTAGAAAGATGTCACAGGGAAACCACTCTCTTTTTGTCTGGGATAAAAAAAGTTTTAAGGAGACATTTAGGCTTGTGGAAACCTAAACATAATGCAATAGATGACCCTGTGCTCGTGATGAATGCCAAGTTTTTTGTTTGTTTGTTTTTTAATTTGCTTTGTTTTTTTTTCCAGGTAACTGGGAGAGCTAACATCATTGTGTAGTTCCAGAAAATATCAATACCCCCACCACGGAGGGAATTTCATATAGGACCCCCCTCATCTTTCCAAATTCCAGCCTCTAATTTCTTCACGCAAGCATAATTTCGTCCGATTGTGCATAAACAAACCTTGGCTAGTTACCAGTCCCACGCGCATATATACAAAGCTCTGGATCCTAGTGTTTCTCAATGTTACTATCAACTGTTTTCGACTACGGTACGCCTGTACTTATCATTCATTGTAACATCGCAAGCAAGTAAGCCATAAAGAAATCGTCAAGTCTCCTACACATTATGATGCAACAGAATTAAGCTCACTGCAGATCAAAATTAAGAGATGGCGTATGAGTAAGGCGGTCACAAATTAGTTTAGCGCAGTGGTTACATGCAACCAAACTGAAAAGGTAAATTAGCTGCTAAATGACGGTAAAAGTAGACGAAATAAATCTAACAGATAAGCGCTTGTGGTCATCACTTGGCTGATTTCCAAAGCACCTGAAATAAAAACAGCATCAGACAGTTGTTTGTAAATTTTACGAACGCGAAACGTGTTATGATCGGGAAAAAAAATCCCCAGGTAACCACTCCTGTAATCTTTGGAGACTGGTAACGAGTAATGGCGGCTCCGTTCGAAAAACAAAGTGATTCTCTTCATTATTTGATGTTATTTATGTTCCAAAGCGCTACAAGGATAAAAGAAAACTTTCTTTGGCTGCAGAACTGTTAGAAGCATCGTAATTTAACAACCTAAACTTCAGAACGTCCCACTAAAGTAGGTAAGTGGCGCCAATTGACATACGAAGAAAGTCGATCGACTTCCTACCCTCTGGACGAAAATTTCGCCTCTTACCCCACATCCCCTCTGGAATTTCCTGGGACTTTGACCCCCCCCCCTTCCACCTCTCTGGAATTTCCAATTCCCTCCGTGGTGAGGGTATGGATATTTTCTGGAACTACACATAGTAGAATTGATGCAAAAGCAAATTATGGTTAATATGAAACATGTGGGAATTACTCTGCATGCTAAGTATAAAGCTTATTCTAAAATGGGGACCATTTTATGATTTCTTGTTTAGTCACCCTAGATATGGTATTGTCATTTCCTGTGCACATTTCATTTAAAAAGTGAGATTATATTTCAAAACTGAAGTAGAAGCTAATGTGCTAGGTAGTTGAACCCATGAAGCACAGAAAGATCAGTCATTGAAAAGAATACTGGGCATGTGATAATGAAAAGTTTTATCTTAGTTTGGTGGCTTCTCATTGAACTTTTGAATTCTAATCACGGTGCTTGGTTGTCATCTAAAATCCACCTGTTTAAAATAAACATTTCTGTCTCAGTGTCTTCATCCTTTGTCACTGAGATGTCAAAATGGCTGATCCACTGTGCAACGCTGGTAATGGTTTATTGTTTCTTGTTTCTCGTTATGGCTCTCTTTGCCAAGCTTTTGGAAAAAGCATAGTATGAATTAGAAATACTCATGGCTCATTTCACCTTAGTTGCTTCTTGTAACAGAAAGGAGTACTAAAACCCTACTTACACCACAACACTATAGGAAGCTCAAGCTCATACACTTAAACTGTCTGTTAAAACATAAATACTGTAATCTGCTGCTTATAAGCACTCTCTCCCCCCTCCCATTTATAAGCCCCCCCCTAGGTTAAAGACCTATTTACCTTTAAAGAAAAAAAACATCCAATTATGAGCCGCCTCCCCCCCGATTAAAGTATATAAGCCCTTCTAGCTGTTTTTGTTTTTATAATACCAAAGTAGGAACAAGCCTCAGTGCTGTGACTTGGAAATTTTAATGATAGAAGTTTAGTATGCAACAGTTTATTCTCGTGCAAATCCTCATATTTCGCCCGCTGGCCCACAGGCGGCCCAAGCTCATGTCTCGAGAAAAAGCAAACGATTAATTCATGAAAGCGTCACGCGTTGTGGGACTCGGTGTTAAGTTACGAGAGGAACCGTTGAGAATTTGAACACGTTAATGAGGAATAGTATGGGGAACGAAATATGGTCGATTTACAACGATAAATATTTCGAAATATGAAGATCTTACTCATAAAATCAATAAAACGTATTCACATTTTGTGTGTCAGCTGTGGTTTCCGGCAATTTCTTCCGTTTTAAGCTTGTTTTGCCATCACTTTTATTCCTGTTATAAGACGAAGTGAATAATAGTGATAGCAAAACAAGCACGAGGGGGATGTGGATGTAAACTCGATTAGATAATTTTTACGGGCTCACAATGTTGCTTAACCCATGACACCCTAAAATCAGTATGCATATTCTTCATATTGCTCTCTAAACATTTTCCACTATACCAACATGGAGAATTTGTCCAACAATCAAGAGCTTCTTTGGTCGGTGATCAGCTCTTTTATTCTGCTGACCTTAATGGAGTGTTTCAGCGTGATATGGTAAGGAGAAATTAGATGCCAGTCACTCTTAGGGGTTAAAGGGTTACAAACCTGAATCAATCTGTAGCTCGTACAACGGAGGGATAAATCAGCAAGGCTGGATTCTATTATTTTTTCTCGCACTAAATGTATGTTAAGGTTTTCATGTCTAACTTTTGTTGGTAATTTTTGTGTTGGCAGGATCACTTAGGAGATCTGTGTAAAGCGATCAGAAACAAAGATGCTGATTTAGCTCGGTGCTGGAGTAAAAGTGAACAGTGGTGTACTGTTATACAGCTTAGGCAAGCAGCAAATGGTAAAATGGTTCCCTCGATATCTTTTTTCTCTCTGAGTATTTTCTCTCTCACTCGTTTTTTTCAAAGTTTTGTTTATTGAATTCATCCAACCTCCAAAGAGGGTCCATACGCCGATATTGATTGGTTAAGTTTTTTTTTTATTATTAAACTAGTTCAAAAACTATTTTTCCTTTAACAGTACAATTTAAAAAAATTGGGACCAATTTAGGAAAAGTAGATTCCATATTGTTATTTTCTTTTCCCTTTTCCAAATTAAGATATCATATCAGGTATGTATGCTTACAGTTTACATATTCTATCCCCAGACCCCTCACCAGAGCCACGAGGATCAGGGGACGTCGACACTACACGAGAACGCGGGAACTGTGAAATGTGTAGCTTACCTCAACACTGAGAAAAGTGATTAAAAGTTTGTTGGACATTATTATTGATAAAAGTCAAGGTGAAGCTGCAGGACAGACAACAAAGCACAGAATTTAGATAAATGTCCAGTTCGGCTCTGCTGAACATATTTCGGCTTTTTGAGAAGTTCCGCTAAGAACGTTTTTATTTCATCGCCAGCGGAATCGCTAACGGAACCATTGAAAATGCATCCCTACCTCTCTACATCATATTTAACTAAAAAAAATTAAAAAATTTCTGATACCAAGACGCAAAACAGCGCGTGCTGAAACCAATGGAGATATTTTTGTTGTTGATCTACTGGTGTGATGTTTTATATAGTGACTGAAAGGGTGTGACAGAGATGTTTTGTGGATGCAAATAAAGCAGGTGTCGTTTCTGAGATTTGCAAGTGTGTGAATTTATTGAATTATGCGCATGATCACTAGCTGTACTTAAAATCTAGAACATGCATATGCTTTACAGTAAATCATTTAAAGATTATCAAGTCCTTTGAACATTGTCAGATAGGTGTGGTCTCAAGTATTTCCTTGGTTTTTTGCTTCATCGTAAATATACCCAGGAAATCAAACTTCCTCAGATAGGAGGCAGTTTAGGTCACGGTTTCAAAAATGTTAGCACACAAACGGATTTTTTTTCCTTTTTTTCTTTTCTTTTGAGTTGAATAGAAAAATGAAATTGATAACAGAATGGTCTATTTATCACTGCACCCGACATTGAAAATTTATGTTTAAAACTAATTTTTAGGTGATACCAAGAATTCATGACTGAAGTTACCCAGTCGCTCGTCTCCAATTAATTTTTAAAAAGGGGTATGCTCCCAATTAAAGTTAATAATTGAAATATAATATTATTAAAAAAAATTAAAAAAAAAGAAAGAGAAATCGTCACACTTTACCCGTAGCAAGCTGAACTGAGTCTAGTCACGGGTTATCTTGAGTCTCGTCATCAGTGCCTAAACACAAAATTAATGGAACACATACTCCATCTCAAGGATGCACTAAACTGCTTTAGTTCCCCATCCACTGCGTTTCCTAGACGGAAAACCTTTACAATTTAATTTGGAAACGAATTTCTTTACGATATGGCGTGAAAGAAAAAAAAAATGATCCGGTCTATCTTAGGAGTGACCATCGGCTCAAGATTATGAGGTCCTATGAAAACATTTATTGCGAAACAGTTCCTTTATTTCTTCTTTTTTCGCATCTGTGGTTCCTTTAATTTGAAGTAAATGGTCCTTCAACAACAACAAAAATAGCTATCTTTTTGTTGCGTTTTTCCAAGCGAGCGAAAGCAAACCCAACGGGGAGCGAGGAAAGGAGCGCCTAACGCCGACTTCCGCTAGCCTGAAATATGCAACAACGACGCCTGTTCTCCAGTTACGTCATCTTACGTCATGGTATCCATGGTTACTGTATTTCTGGTCACGCGATCCGACAAATTACACGATCTAAGCGTTTGAAAACCATCAGATGCAAACTTTCACAAAGAAACTACGACAAGTGGAGCTAGTACTCTGTGATTAATGCGTTCAGTAGAAATGTAATCTCCATACAAGCGTAAAGATGTGACGGAAACTATTAATAGTGCAGAGCAAAAGGTTAGTGTTTCGAGCTGAGCTGGAGTGCGAGCTTAATGAATACCTTTCCTTGAAATTGTCTGCGTCATTTTATTGGCGATGAAATCCGCTTAAATATGAGATTTCATTTTAGTCCACAAATGGACAAACCTTTATCTGGATTTATTTCATTTTATTTTGATGATTGTGTCGCATGTTGCAGGGAGCTGATAACCAGGCGAAAACGTTATACTTTCATGACCACAAACCAATACTGCACGTGGGCCTCCGAGTGAGAGCTTCAAGTCCACCTTTGGAGGTGAGGGTTTGTGGATTTTATTCTATATTGAGTTTAGTTTCAGTTCGGGCACGTTAGACTTTCTGTTAATGACATCTCGTATTAAACACATCATTACAACCTCAAGTAAATCTACTCCGCGCTAGCAAGCATTTTACCTCCTCCAGTTTCTTTCGGAAGGTAGTGATCGGCTGCACACAGGCTGAATTACGCATAGAGCTTCAAAATGACGTTCTTAAGGGTGAAGAATATTGCTCTGGCTATGTCATTTTCAGGCAGGATAGAGGCCCGCATAAATCTGAAGGGAGGAGGGATCGTTGTTTACATTAGAAACTCATTTAACGCATCGATCATCGATAACTTGTCAACAATTACGGATGCTAACTCCCAACAACTCTGGCTTGAAGTCCAGTGCAGGAAATCAAAATCTTTCCTACTATGCGCTGTTTAAAGGCCAGATTCCATGTCCATGTCTAGATTCCTGGACGATTTTACTGCCTCTTTTATGGGCTCGCTTCCTCTAGGAATGGAAATTATGGTTACTGGCAACTTAAATGCAGACTTTTTGCTGGCTTTTCTTGTCCTGAGGGCCAAGCTTTGATGAATCTCTGTAATTCACTTAATCTCTCGCAGCTTGTTACACAACCGACAAGGACCACTGATACATCAGTGACGCTAATTGACGTGGCGCCTACAACAAACAAGAGCTTTCTTACTAGCTGCGATGTAAATATTTCGGCAGTTGCTGATCATTGCTTGGTGGCGGTCAGTTTGAATCTCAAAGCTTCTAGTGTTTTCACCAGAAGCTACAAAAACTACAACCCTGGTTTATTCCGAGGCGATTTGATGTGTGTCCCTTTTCACCTTGTTAATATTTTTGACGACCTCGATGATCAAGTTGAGGTATTCAATAATTTATTCCTCGACACGCTGAATGAGCACGCACAAATTAAACGCATCAAGATCAAGTCATGCCCGAATCCGTTCATTACAGCTGAGATCAAACAATCGATGCGCGACAGGTGGCAAAAAAAGGCACGTAAAACAAACGACGTTCCAAAACTGGAGCGTTTTAATTTTTTCAGGCAAGAAGTTAAGCGAGTGATGAGAATCGTTGAGGAGGAAAATGTTCGCTCCGAACCACTGAAGTGCAGCAGAAACACAAATTCTGTCTGGAAAGTCATAGATCAATGCCTTCCCAACAAAGATCCACCACTGACTACTGTCGAAGATCCTACGGTCCGAGCGAACAGATTTAGCGATTTCTACGTTTCGGAAGGGGTGGCTGCAGCCCCTAAAGCCAAGCCCCTATGCGATTACAATGGCTTCTCGGATGAGTCAGTCGATGATACGGACGAACAAATTTGAGTTTCATGCTGTGACGGAACAGGGAATTGAAAAGATTGTTAAGCATATCCCATCAAACAAAGCGCCCGGGCTTGATAGAGTGTCCGCTGGAGTGCTTAAAGACATTCTTCCGGTCACCCTACCCGTCATTATCAATCTGATGAATACTTCGTTCGCATCGAATTGCTTTGCACAGGTGTGGAAGTCCGCAGTGGTCATCCCAAACCTCAAGTCCGGCGATCGTAATGGCCCTGAAAACACCCGTCCTATATCCCTCCTACCGATAATGTCAAAGGTATGCGAGAAAGCTGCTCACACGCAGTTTATGGACTTCTTGGATAAAATAGCAAGATATCCGGCCTACAGAGTGAAAACAGAAAGTTCCACTCCAATAAAACCGCCCTACTACACTTCACGGACTACCTCCTTGAGAATATGGATGAGAAACGAATATCTGTGGTTGTACTACTCGACATGTCTAAAGATTTCGACAGCATCCAACATGACCCCACTTTAGCCTGGTTTAAGAGTTACCTATTATTACCTATGCAAGTGCTAAGGATTGGCAGTGTCCTATCCGACCCCCTCCCACAGACAGTAGGTGTGGCCAGGGGTCCATTCTCGGTCCAGCTTTGTTCACTTTGTACGTTAACGACCTCCTCTCTGTTCCGGAGAAGTGCCAAGCCATGGGCTATGTAGACGACACCAACCTGCTTTTGGCTCTTCCCCAGTCAGACGTCAGTGTTGCCATTCCTGACCTCAGTAGTGATCTCCGAGAGATAGCAAAGTGGTGCTCACTAAACTCTCTGTTAATCAATCCAAGCAAAACTAAGGTCCTTGTCGTTGGCGTACCACAACTAACGCGAAACTTTACCTCATGTCGTTCTATTGGGGAACAATATTAAGCCCTCTCCTGTTGTAAAAGACTTGGAGTTCTGCATGGACTCTGCCGTAACTTTTGACGACCACGTATCTACACTTTCCTCGAGCGGCCTGTATAATCTACATCGTATCAATAGAATCAAACATCTTTTGGACAACAAAACTCTTATTTTAATTATAAATGCTCTTATTTCAGTAAGCTTTTCTATTTGTAGTGGCAGTGACATTTGCAACCATGTGCTTTTGAGAGTCCACCATCTTGCCAATAGACTTTTTGTCCTCCTGGAGTCTCGTGTGTTTTCCTCTCTTGCAAAGCTACTACATTTGGCAACAAGGATAAAAGTCGAACACAAGACAACCTTCTCAGGAATTCTGGGCTTTGGCCGTCTGCTTAAGTGGACTAACTGGTCCTGCGGCGTTTGACACAGTTGGCAAGCCTGCCACGTTGGCGCATTTGGAAAGATGAATTTGAGTTTTCCGTGACAGCATCAGGCATCGACAATCCGGAACAGCAACGAGCCGTCTTTTACTTCTAGCAGGACCGAGCGTACGAGAAATTTTCCGTATCATTCCCGAGGACACGAAGGGCGACCCTAAAGACCACAAGAAAGCGATGGAGTCGCTCACGATACTTTCAAATTGAAGAAGAACATTCCAATGGCGCGACAAAACTTTCTAGGAGCTATGCCTGCACCTTGAAACGCTTGAACTGCGTATAAACGATAAGATAGTTAATGTTATTGTTGATTCAGGTGCCAGCCGTATCTTATGTCAGAGCATGTATATCATTCTCTAACAGGGGGAAAGCACCCTTAGCAAGGTGTGATAAAAATGTGTACGCATACGCACTCTCGAAACCGCTACAGCTTAAGGGAAGCTGTATGTTGAGAGTCACTGTACAACAGACTGACATGTCTGCCACTGCAGAATTTTACATAGTCTCAGGGCAGGCTGCAACCCTGCTAGGTCGTAAAACATTAAAGATGCTTGCAACACTTAAGGTTGCAGTTAATGTTATGAACTGCGGTACAAACATTGACAATGCCCAGCCTCTAGACAACAAAACCGCTCTTAAAGTTAAATTCCCCAAAGTTTTTGAGGGCCACGGCAAACTAAACGCCTACCAACTGAAGTTACACCAAGATGACAGTGTCCCACCTGTGGCACAACCCCTTCGCCAAATACCATTTAGCAGGAGACAGAAAGTGACGGCAAAGTTGAAACAGTCAGAGGGACTAGATGTCATTGAAAAAGTCAATGTTCCCACTAGCTGGATCAATCCACTTGTGGTCGTAGAGAAGCCCAACGGAGACATTCGCATTTGTTTGGATATGAGACAAGCGAATCGTGCAATCCTCATGGTGAAACACCCAGTTCCCACAGTGGAAGAAACATTACAGGAGATTTCAGAGGCAAAAGGCAAAAATAAATTTCGGACATAAGAAAACCTATGAAAATCATTTCCGCATATCTAGAATTTCACTCAGTCAAAAAAACTAGCGGTCATATTAAGTAGGTTCGGAGGTATTTTAGTTCCGAGGCAGAAAACTTGTCAAATACAAGCTGGAAAAAACCGTGTGAACAAAGATCATTGCGTTACAATGCAAATATATATTGAGCTATTAAGAGGCGATAAGTGAAATAAGAATGGAGAATGGTGGAATTTGGGTTGTGCAGGCGAGGAAAGATTTGGATTCCAGCGGCTAAATTTAACGAATTCTGCAAACGTAAATTTGATCAACGTAGGTTGCTATTTTTTGCTGTTTTCGTCGGCTGTATATAGGTTAATTATTCTGTGGAGTTGGATGATTATCATAATTGTGGATCTCTTTGTGATTTTCCGGAACCTTGGCTTTTGAAATAAGAGCAACCAAGCATTGCAGTAAGATCTGTAACTACAAGTTCACAACCATGTTTCATCATGCACAAGTTGGCCATGATTCTTTGATCAGATAGAGGAGACAGTTGAATTTATTTGCCATGCTGTGGTGTTTTAATCGATTTCTTTCTTATCACAAACTTAAATACAAATCTCTGGGAAATAACTTCGTACAGTCTTTCAGTTGTGTTAAAGTGTATACGGCCTGTTTTCGTACTAATTGACGTTTTTGATAAACAAATCACGGCTCAAAGGAGAGAAGTCTTTGTCAGCGGAGATGGAAATTGTTTTTACCGAGCTGTTGCTTTTAGGAGGAATGAAACAGGCGCTGAGAAAAGCGAGGGGATCAGGAGGGGGAGTTGCAGTTTGTTTCAGAAAGAGGTTTTTGAGCTGCGGCTCTTCGCTATTTTCAAATACAAAAACAGTCACGATTTCTTCAACTCTAAAATTTTCTACAGTGGTGTCTTCGGCTGATCTAACTGACTAATCATGGTCGACTGTAATTGCACAATTCCTTTCAATGCTACGCTCAGTAATTAAGGCATCCCACGGAATCGCCTCTACTTAAATTGAGCCGCAGCTTAATTCTTTAAATTGAACATAAGATTGGCAAATGTGATTAAGGTTTGCAAAGAAACCTTCGATTTTTTCCTTTGCATTGTGGCTTGTTTAACTTGATAAATTAGGAAAATGAACTGATCGCTGAAGCGCTTGGGGATGATAAGTAACATTTTCTTTTGTGTTCTTTTTTAGGTATGGAAGTTCCTCGAGGCAAGGCAGATCGAGATCGTGAACAAGACAGCTCTCCAGGTTTGAAAACACTGAATATGAACATTAGCACTATTCTACAATGAAATCTTTTATGCTTAGAGAAGAGCCACTACATATTTGCGAGTTTATTGTAAATATTGATCATGACCTAAATTTTGTTTGAAAGTAAAATTAGTACAACGACATGAAGATGAAAAAAAAAGAACCTTAATCATGCTGCAAATGTTGCGTGGCTTTCAGAACTGTTAGTTAAAGTCTCACCGGAATAAACTGAGGGCTAGTCTGCCATCTTTAGGTAGATACTTTCTCCTCATTTTGCTTAAAGTGATGCATCATTAGCCAGTGACAGGGTTATACCACATTCGAAAAAAAGCTTAAACATGTTTCAAAGCTGTTTTGTCAAACACAGTTTAAAATATTCAGTTTCTTCAAAGGAGCTGCTTAAGCCAATGTTTCTGATTTCCAATCAGTTAAGCTCGGTCTAAACGAAGTTTATTTTGCGACACAAACTTTCTCTGTTACCACTAGAATATAGAAAGGTATTGAAAGACTTGGTACTTATCTGTAATGGTAATCGGCCGGACTGAGAAAATCCGAGTTCTCGCGGCTCTGTGACCTAATACCGAAAGTACAACACAAGGACGAGGCTCGGTGCGACGTCGCTCTCATCGGTCTAAAAAAATTAAGGTACGTCTCTCCTTGGAGGGGGTTGGCTGGGGAATTTTGGTTTTTTTTTTTGCAAAGGAAACAGTGCAACGCGACGAGTTGATTACATTCCCAGAAGAAAAACTACTTCCCTATCCACTTTCGCTGAAGTTTTGGATTCATGACTTCACCGGTATTCCAGACTTCAGGTTTCCCGATAGTTACCATTATCTGGTTGAAAAAGATGGTTACGATGAAGACTGTTTACGGTCGTATAAAAGCCTTGAGAGTTTTCGCTTGTTTACTGATAAGCATGTGGAGGATCTCAAGTACCACGATTTAATTGATGATGGGGCAGATAAATCGACTGGATTCTGCTATTTCCAGTTCATAGTCCTTTTCTTTGAAAGCTTCTTCTCTACAAACTTTGTTATCCTTAAGGACGAAGCCGTGATCTTTCAGTGGAAGTTCAGTAGAAACACGGAAAATTTGGGCGGGAAGTACTTCTTTGCTGTCTGCGTTACCGTTTCGTTTTCTCCGCTCATTCGACCTTTTTTCGCATTGAATTAGATTTCTACGGACTGTATGCTGATTAAATATTATTGGAACCAGAGAGTTAGTTCCAGAAAGTGTCTTCACGACTTGTTTAGTCTCAAAGTATTCGGAGCATATATGAAAGTTCTTGATGGACGTGAACTCGGAAAGGTTGAGGTCCGGCCTTTTTTAGAGTTATTTTTGCACACAGAAATGGCACAAAACTTCATATTCGACTTGCAGTCACTCCGATCTTGCTTTCAAAATAAGCGTCCTTCAGCCTCAGCTTGGTGCTGATAATTAGTTACCAGACTATCTCGCCAAAACAATTTGAAAATAGCCTACATCATAACTACATCAGAAATGGAAATCACTGTATGAGAATGAAGAACTGAAAGAATGAAAAAAACCTTAATCGAGAAAAAGACTGATGTAGCAATATACCTAGAATTAAATATTAACTGTCGCGAAGGAGAAATTGTTGCAGGAGAAAAAGAGATCACTATACGAGATTATCGATTAGTTTTTCTGAGTCGTTGAGCAATAGCTAGTAAGCGGAATATTTCTCTTAAAATGTCGGAGCAACTTAGTGCAGAAGGCTTTACAGAGTTTGTTGATTTTGTAAAGAGGACTATTGAAAGAGGCGCATCTGTTTATCACGGATCTGTTCATGTAGGATTAGAAATCTGTGTCAGGAAGCTTGAGGAACACACAAGAATGCTTATCGCCATATCACTGTCTAAAAATTCCTCTTCAGACCTGTTTGATCTGTTAGAATTGTCTTTAGTCGTCTTATTATAGATATTTTAATGCATCGAGCCTTTGTCCTTCTCTGCAAGTTCAGGAGGGAGACTGGTGTACATTATTACAAAAGAAATGATCAAGCAACTGTGTGAGACTGGTTTAAACTGGAGAAGAATAACAACATGCCTTGGAATCCCCGACCACAGACAACCCAAGCACCAGCTGTGAGATGATCATTTTGCGAAGTAGCAGTCGTGCTGAAATTATCAGAGTTTATATGGGAACATTTACGACCGCTCTTAGGATTAAAAAAATACTCTTCCTTGACTAACGTCGACGCCAAAATTGCATCCAAAGTTATAGCGACCCGTATTGTCAAAGTTTTACCCGAAATCATTCATAGCAATCAAACTGGGTACGTTTCAGGTCGCTACATAGGGGAAGCCGCAAGATCAATTCTAGATATAATGGATTACACGAAAACTTATGAAATCCCTGGATTGCTACTTTTTATAGATTTTGAGAAAGCTTTTGATAGTCTGGAGTGGAATTTTATGTTCAAATGTTTAGAAGTCTTTGGATTTGGATCCAGTCTTACAAGATGGATAGAAACCTTTTACAGTAACATAACAAGTTGTATTATCAACAATGGAACGCTCTCAGCTAGCTTTGAAATAAATCGAGGTGTAAGGCAAGGAGACCCCCTTTCTCCTTACTTGTTTATCATTGCTATGGAACTACTAGCAGTCGCTATTCGCTCATGTTCAGAAATAGATGGAATCAAAATAGATGAAAAAGAATTCAAAATGGTACAGTATGCAGATGATTTAACAGCTTTTGTGTCGGATATCAGATCTGCTCAATACCTTTTTAAGTTACTTGATCAATTCCAAAAATGTTCTGGCCTAAAGGTGAATTATACAAAAACCGAAGCAATGTGGATTGGCTCTTCCCGTAATAACATCGAAACACCTCTAGCATTGAAATGGCGTAAAACTGTAAAAAGCTTTTAGGGGTTCACTTTAGTTACAATAACGAAGAATCAGTGCAAAAGAATTTCTACGATAAGCTCAAAGGAATTAAATCTCAGATACGCTTGTGGAGTTGGAGAGGCCTCTCTCTGTTTGGTAAAGTTACAATTATTAAGAGTTTACTACTTCCTAAAGTTTTATACATCTCGTCAATTCTTCCTTCTCCTTTGGAGTTCATAAAGGCCCTTCAATCAATTATATATAATTTTCTTTGGAAGGGTCCTGATAAAATCGCCAGGACAGCAGTAATAAATGATGTTGAATTTGGTGGCCTAAAGGTAACTGATTTTACAACGTCAATTATGTCACTCCGACTTTCATGGATTGGAAGATTTCTAAGCGATAATTTTTATCCCTGGAAAGCGTATCTATTACATTTACTAAAACCTTTTGGTGGAAAATTTTTTTCTTCATTGTGATTATAATATTAATGACTATAACATTTCCCCAATATTTTATCAGGAGTTGTTACAATGGTGGTCAGATTTTCGTTCTAAATTTGATCTTGTAAGTCTACGTGAAACAATCATCTGGAACAATCATAACATTAGAGTAAACGGCAAACCTTTATTCTATTATAATTATAATAGCGCAAATATTATTCTTTTAAGCGACTTAAAATTTGATTTGAGTAACACAGAGTCCTTTAACCTTGCAAAGCGTAATGGTTTAAAAGATTCCAACTTTCTGACCTGGACTGGTGTTCGCTGCGCAGTACCAAGTCATCTAAGAATTCGATGCCACGAAATTAAGAAAGATCATGTCAGATCACTGCAATTTAAAATCGGTGATAAAATCTTTGATCCAGCACTTAGCAAGTCTAGGGATTTCTACGGTTTGCTTATATCCAGTAAGGCGACAGAGTCCAGAGGCTTCACAAAGTTGAAATCTAAATTTTCTATTGATGATGTGGAAACAAAAAAGGCCTTCTCATTAATAAGGTCCTGTATCTGCGAGACATATGTGCAATGCTTTCAATTTAAAATACTAAATGACATTTTATTCACAAATTCCCGCTTAGCTAAGATAGGTTTAATACAAAGCGATCTTTGCACTTTTTGCAATACTAGTGCGGAAACAATTGATCACTTATTCTTTTACTGTGTTTACTCACATGCATATTGGGAAGAATTTGAATCTTATTGGATCGCTATAGCCAAAGAACAAAGGAAACTTGAGTTAAAGACTATTTTAATTGGTGTCACAGATACTAATTGTTCTTTATTTAATTACTTAATCGTTTTAGGTAAGCTACATTTATGGAATTGCCGTAGGAATAATAGTCTTCCTTTTTTCCCTTCGTATAAGGAACTAGTTAAAAGAAAATATGAAACTGAATGTCACATTGCGGCTAAGTTTAATGATAGGAAGATGCTAGAGGCTAAATGGAAACCCATTTTGAATTATAATTTAATAGATACATAGGTGTGTAAGCGAAAAAAAAAAAAAAACTGTAAAAAGTAGGGTAAGAATTGCAGTCTAAGGAAGTATATTATATAGTAAGTAGAATAAGTAACGTCTTGTAGGTGGTATTGTAAGTAGTGTTCGTTTTGTTTTGTAAAGTAGTGTTCTTCGTGTTGCAAAAAAAAAAAAAAAAAAAAAAAAATAGGATTAAAAAAATACAGTCAAATTCTCAGTAAAAATACTTCGCTTTTCTTCCACAGTGAATCGCTTGTTATCTGACCGCTTGCTATGTTTTCTAGGTTTACTACACAAGAACGGCTTGTCTAATGTAGCAAACCTAGAAATGGATAACTTGTTAAAATGGGTTCTTTTAAAAATAGCAAGCGGTCAGATAACAAGCGCTGCACTGTCATGTTACAGGTAGTCTCAACACCAATTGATCTCTAAGAGTGATTAGTGACCATTTTCTCCTATCAGTATCCCCTCTAAAACAAACATTAAGATCATGAGAATAAAGGAAATGATCACGAACTAAAGAGGCTCTTGGTTGTTAAACAAATTCTCTTTGTCGGTACCATAGGATATGCATAGAGAACAGTACGGAAAACACGTATGCTGATGTTAGGATGCAAAGGGTTAAAACACTTGAATAATATAAAAATTCATAAATTCATAAGATTTTCATAAGGCTATCAGTTACCACGAGCATCATCTACAAATTGCAAAACAAGTGGGAGACAAAGCTGGAAAAGGACGGGCTCATGGAAGTCTTGGCAATGCCTATCATAGCTTAGGCGATTTTCATAAGGCTCTCAGTTACCACGAGATTAATCTACAAATTGCAAAAGAAGTGAGAGACAAAGCTGGAGAAGGACGGGCTTATGGAAGTCTTGGCAATGCCCATCAGATGTTAGGCGATTTTCATAAGGCTATCAGTTACCACGAGCGTCATCTACAAATTGCAAAAGAAGTGGGAGACAGAGCTGGAGAAGGAGGGGCTTATGGAAATCTTGGCAGTGCCCATCAGATGTTAGGCGATTTTCATAAGGCTATCAGTTACCACGAGCGTCATCTACAAATTGCAAAAGAAGTGGGAGACAAAGCTGGAGAAGGACGGGCTTATGGAAATCTTGGCAATGCCTATCATAGCTTAGGAGATTTTCATAAGGCTATCAGTTACCATGAGCGTCATCTACAAAAAGCAAATGAAGTGGGAGACAAAGCTGGAGAAGGACAGGCTTATGGAAATCTTGGCAATGCCTATCATAGCTTAGGCGATTTTCATAAGGCTATCAGTTACCACGAGCGTCGTCTACAAATTGCAAAAGAAGTGGGAGACAAAGCTGGAGAAGGACGGGCTTATGGAAATCTTGGTGGTGCCTATCAGATGTTAGGCGATTTTGATAAGGCTATCAGTTACCACGAGCGTCATCTACAAGTTGCAAAAGAAGTGGGAGACAAAGCTGGAGAAGGACGGGCTCATGGAAGTCTTGGCAATGCCTATGGGATGTTAGGCGATTTTGATAAGGCTATCAGTTACCACGAGCGTCATCTACAAATTGCAAAAGAAGTGGGAGACAAAGCTGGAGAAGGACGGGCTTATGGAAATCTAGGCATTGCCTATGGAAACTTAAACGATTTTCATAAGGCTATCAAGTACCATGAGCGTCATCTACAAAAAGCAAAAGAAGTTGGGGATAAAGCTGAAGAGAGACGGGCTTATGGAAGTCTTGGCAATGCCTTTCATAGCTTAGGCAACTTTCGTAAGGCAATCGAGTACCATGAGCGTCATCTACAAATTGCAAAAGAAGTGGGGGACAAGGCTGGAGAAGGAGAGTCATACGGTAATCTTATCTTATACTCTTAATCAATGCATATCCGCGATTTTCATAACTTCAACCTAAAATTGTCCTGGCAAAGTCAAAGGATAAAAGTTTGTTGGAGTGTTGCATCTATATTATAAATTTCAAAGCTGAAAATTTCTCTTACCGCTCGACCTAGTCTGCCAAAGGATTCCACCTCCAATTTCTAGGATTTTTCAAAGCCGTTTTTAAATTTTATAATCCCAGAGTTTTGCGACAAAAGAGAATGTTTGCCTCTCTAGGAAACTGATTTCAGTTTAACTACACGCTGTTCGTAGCTCTTGCGATAATTAATCGACAAGTTTATCACGGTCTTGCTTATTTAATTAAATTTGTCCAGATTTTACTTGGGACAAATTTGTCGGCGATGTGTTTCACGATTTGTCGGCCTTGGCCAAAATTTGTCAAAATTTAGTGATGACGAAAAAATTGTTTTAAATAAACAACTTTTTCGTTAGTGCGGAAAGACCCCATGTTGAACAATTTTGGTTGAACAGATATTGGTAGTAAATGTCTGTTATATTGTATACTGAAACCAAATACCTCAAAATAATAATTTCCCCAGCCAAAGAGGAAGATGAGGTACCTTATTACACCGGCAGGAAAGATTTGGCAGATATAGAAGATGCAACAGTAGACACTGAAGACAATGAAAAGACTTTGATCAAAAGGTATGGGTTTTTCTGCAATGACTCAGTTTTTTGCCTTTTCCATGTTTTTTTTGGTCATGGATTCACAGACCATTGAAAAGAGCAGGGTTGGAGTTGCTTGGAGGTGTTAACTAATGGCAACTTTTGATAAAGTGCTCTGACTGAAGAACAACCCCCCGGACCTCTTTATAAATGACAGTTACTTTCTTTTATTTTATTTTCTTTTTAATCTTTAGTTAATAAAGTTCATGCTTAATAACTGTAATGCTATTAAAAATTTATTACATTCATGCCCAAATCATTGGTGATCCTTGCAATCTGATTGGTTCTCATTGGCACGATTTATTGATAAAATGCACCATTTTTTGCTCTAAAGTGCATCGATTTCCCAGCTAATGAGAAAGCTCCACGAAAATACAGCAACAAATCAGATTTAACTGATTGTTTTAGGAAATCAATCAAATTGCAGAAGAAAAGAAAGACAACTTTTATAACATTTTACACACAAGCTCAGTACTGGATCAATAACATACATGTATTTGTAAAAATCTTTATTCATTTAGCAACTGAATGTTGAAAATTTAAAACAAAGGTAATGAAGTGGTAATTGAACTTTTGCCATGCACTTTTGGTCTGGTGATCTGATGCCGCTGCACAATCCTTTAGTTCAGATGTCACGCGTATGATTTCAGAACAAAGTTTACACCACCCAGTTCAATTACCATGTTCTACGGGTATTCAACATTTTTTTTCAGTGTTTCCATCAATAAAGGGGTACTTAATTATTATCAAAAATGATAGTGAATCATTTTAATAAATGTTTTGATTTATGATTATAATTTGAGGCTATTTGAGTCAAAGAAAAGAAAATTAATGGAAATATGTCTTAGTACAGCTGACTTAATAATCTCAGAGCTATTTTTGTTTTGTTTTGTGCAACTTCGGTTTTTGAGGAACAACCTTTTAGATGTTCATGTATTCAGTTTATTAAGTAAACCAAATCAGGAATCTTAATTTATTAGTGGGAGTAGCTGATTCAAAATAGTTTTTCTTTGTCTATCGTATGCTTTTATTACTGACTGAAAAAAAAAATAAAGAAAAATGACATTTATTAGATTCAATTTTGAAATTAAGTGTCAATATCTGAATGAGTTTTTCAAACTGCCAGTTTGCCACTTGCATTTTAAATGCCTTTGTCATTGCTTACTCCACTTGGGAAAATATCCTAAAATGCTGGATAATTAGTTTCCTTTGTATTTCAGAGGAAAAATCGGAGGTAAGGAAGACACATGGCACCTGAGGGAAGCTGGTGCCTCTATCAAACTTTGCAGTGGAGCTGTACAACAACCTGTGCCATTTACATGTAGATGCTTATTGTGGAACCCCAGGACCCGCTCCCCACCCATTGCCAGTGATGAGATATTGGTTAGCAGTGTTATTGAAATATCTCATGATGGCCCACCAGATCTGGATTACAGGAAAAGTTTTGAAGGAATAAGTTTTACTGTATCTTTGCTGCACAGTGCCCCAAATTTGGAGGGGTATGAGGTGGTTATCAAGCAACTGACTGACCAAGAGAACAATGAATGGAAGGAATTAAAGACAGAGAATACTTGGCATGGATCAGGTAACGTTATGTTTTTATTAAATACAGGTGTGAATAACTTAATGAATGATCATGATATTCCTAGGCTCCCTTTTTCACTGGCATCAATGTCAGCATTTGAGAAATGTGCAGCTCCCCCTCTCCTAACCCAAAATTAAACCTAACCTGTAACCCGAACTTATCAGTTGACTTAAGGGAGAAGGAGTAGATGTGCACAGACTTAGATGCGGACATCTATCCCTGCAATGCATGACCTACTGTACTCATAATGTCAAAGTAGACTTCTTGCTTCTTCATAGGCATTGCAAATCCAACTTTAGACCTTTTTTTCGTTTTCCCTTTAGGTGTATCCAAGCAGTACGTGTAATTATTGCATAAATGTTACATGAAGTCTCCAATGCATTTTAATCTCTATAATATAAATTTTCCTTAATAACCATGTTGTCGCAAACTTTATTCTTTGAAGCATAAATATCATAATGACATATGTTGGGAGTAGCTTTATTGTTTGAAGACTTCAAAACACAGCTGAAGGATGCATTTCCAATCATTTATTTTTATTTGCAGAAACTTCAACAGTTCCCAAGTGGCTTTTCCCATTTGCACAAGCTGTTTGTACAAAATCAGCAGTTTCTTCATTTGCTGCAGTCTGGCGTCCTAAGTCTTTCACCTTTTCAAGAGGTACTCCAGGAGGCCCGGAATTGACCTGTATTGTGCCTGACCTTCCTGATGTCAGTGTCCAAATTCCTCAGGGTTGTGTTCCTGTTTATCAAGATTTCTGTGTGACAATCAAGGTGCATGGAACTATAAAATTATATACATGCATGAGTCCTGCAACTTTTTCATTTTCCAGTTTTGAAAGTCATAGGATTGGCGTGAGGGGATTGTCAAAAGCAAGGAGATAAAACAAAGGTGTTGCAATAGTATAACCTGTACCCTCAGTTACTTGCCATACACTCCATGAACTTGGTGGCAATATTCATGGAAAGAGAGATATTAATTAACAACTTTAAGCTAAAATAGAGGACAGTTGGGCTTGTGCTTGCATGTGTGTGAAGATACATGTGGTTAAGTTCTAATCAGCAGTTTTGGTAACTTCGAATTATTTGTGGTACTACTGTCCCCATGCGTACTCATGGATTCAGGGCATTCCCTTTTTAAAAATACAGTCAAATTCTCAATAAAAACATCTCACCTTACTTCCAAAGTGCATTGCCTGTGGTCAGACCGCTTACTAAGATGAAAAGAAGCCATTTTAGCAAGTTCTCCATTTTTAGGTTTCTTTCTCCTAGGAGTAGTAAAGCTAGTTTCTGAGTAAGATAATGAGGTCATTTAAGGCGGCACGAAACTTATTAAGGACGAATCACTAGAAACAAAACACTGAGGAACGTCGAATAGGTAAAGAAATGTCCTGCCCACAGAAAACAGTACATGAACATGCAGGACCTTGCAAATTTTTGATTTTGATTTTGTGGTTACTTTACTTTTCAGTTGCTTTAAAGTCCCTTTCTATGCCTCTGCCTTTTTTCTTAATTAATTTTCCTTTTTCTTATTAATTAGTAATTTTCTTTATTTCCTCATTTCTATTCATCACATACGCACCCGTAATATTGCAAATTTTCCTTCCTCCATTTAGGCTTCTATTCCTGTCACCTCTGACTTTGAAGAAGGAAGTGGTAAGTTGTTGTTTTTGTTGTAGGTTTCGTTGTTGTTCGAATAAATACAATTTACTGGACCATTCATCTTGTTCTAAAATATGTTGTTCGAATAAATACAATTACTTAAGACCAGTCATCTTGTTCTAAAATATGTAAATTCAGAAATGTAGGCTTTATGGGTTTTGAGAATGTAGCTTTTAGTGACAAAGCAGGTGTTCTCAACTGAAAGTCATAATAACCTGCCTTACTTCATGTGTTAATAAATCGGGCCGTGCCCCCCTCACGCTCAACAGTGATGGCTTATTGTCTCTGTTATGTATCAGTAAACTCAATGCAGACCACGGTGCGTGCGCCCCTCCTTGTAGGGAATTTGATGCTGAAAACGAATAAAACACAAAACGGTTTAGGAAAGACACAAAGAAGTGTAATTCTCCAGAAAATTATTCCGTTGGCTTTATCGTTAAAATGATGGAGTAACTCTGACAGTGATGAATCCTTTGCACCTGCTATTGCTTTTCAAATGAAATCTTGAATCGAACATTTTTCAATATAACTGCCCCCTTCGTCAAATTTGTCAATGCTCATTGTTACTTATAAGAGAAATCGACAAAACTTACCACTTTAATTTGTGAACGCCGGGTCTTACCCGAATGATCACAGTCCAGGATCACCACATGAACGTTTCCGAACCATCAGCGCCATAACACTTGCATTAGTTCTCAACCCAGCCATCTAATTAACCCCATTATTCTGCAGGTATCTCCTCCCAAAGTGTGGAACATTCAATTGTAAAGCATCCAAATTCAGAATCATCGTCATGCAGCCCTGTTGCAGCTCCTAGGAAGAAGATACACCAATCTGCAGGTAGTACCGAGATTGAAAATGTCGCGATGGATTTTCCTTTTAATTGTATTTTTTTCAAGTTTGCATGTTGTTGTCACGCGTTTATGTATGGTAAAACTTGTTTATGCAGAAAGACTGGCATTATATTTCTTAGACATCCTCTTTACCCACTTATATAAGAGAATAAAAAATAATGAATTAAAAGTGGACTCTATCATTAATCCAACACCCGTGTATCTTGAACAACA